AAAAAATGTAGCCCCTTTTTATTTAAATAGCAAATTTTAAATCAATACCTTCATGATTGATAAATTCTCCTCTCAATATTATGGCCTCTTCTGCTAAAAGTGTAATTTTTGAAGTCATATGATGTATTGTAATCAGATCAGCTAAATAAAACAAGAGTATATACCAAATTCCTGAAATATTGATGCGAGGTTGTTTTAAATAGGTATTGTAAAATCAGGCAGAAATTCATTGCATTATTTGTCTGAATCTTTAAATTGTTGTCCTCTTTTAATATCCAATAAACAAGTTGCATCATTATTACCAAATGCTAATGTACTACCATCAGATGATATGCCTACTGAATAATGCTAACATATTTAAGATTTTTGATTTTCTATTTTTACATTCCATAAACGTATAGAATTGTCTTAGCTGCCTGATGCTAATGTAGTGCCATCAGGAGAAAAGCATACTGATTAAACCCAACTACTATGCCCATTTAATAAAGATTTTTGTTTTCCTATTTTCACATCCCATAAACGAATAGAATTGTCTTAGCTGCCAGATGCCAATGTTCTACCATCAGGAGAAAAGCAAATTGAAGTAACATAATCACAATGAACATCTAATTAAGACTTTTATTGTCCTGTTTTAATATCCCACAATCGAATAGAATTATCTTAGCTGCCTGATGCTAACATACTCCCATCAGGAGAAAAGCATACAGAAAAAACTCCACTAGTATGCCCTTTAAATAATGATTTTGGTTGTCCAGTTTTTACATCCCATAACAAAATTGTTTTATCTCCACTACCGGATGCCAATAAAGTGCCATCAAAAGAAAAGCATACCGATGCAACATAATGACTATGACCATTTAAGGATGACTTTTTTACTCCTTTTTTAACATCCCATAAAATAATAGTTATATCTCCACTGCCAGAAGCTAATAAAGTACCATTAGGAGAAAAACAGACTGACATAACAGTTCTAGTATGACCATTTAATTAAAATTATTGTTGTCCTGTTTTAACATCCCATAAAAGAATAGTCTTATCACTACTACCTGAAGCTAATGTAGTATCATCAGGAGAAAAGCATACCGATGTGATTTCTTTTTTATGACCATCTAATTAAGATTTTTGTCGTCCTGATTTGATATCCCAAAACCGAATCGAATTGTCTTAACTGCCAGAAACTAATCTAGTCCCATCAGAAGAAAAACATACTGATGTTACACCTTTTCTATGTCCATTGAATTAAGTTTTTTGATGTCCTAGTTTAACATCCCATAAACGAATACAATTATCTCTACTTCCAGATGCTAATGTAGTACAATCAGGTGAAAAACATATTGATGTAATATCACTTATATGGCCATTTAACGTTGCCCATTATTTTCCTGTTTTAACATCCCATAAATAAATTAATTTTTCTTTGCTTCCTGATGCTAATTTTTTACCATCAGGTGAAAAACATATTGATTCAATACAGCTTCTATGGCCAAATAACGTTGCCTTTTATTATCCTGTTTTAACATCCCATAAATAAATAGAATTGTCTTTGCTTCCTGATGCCAATTTTGTACCATCAGGAGAAAAACATAATGATGTAATATCTTAAACATGTCCATTTAATTTAGACTTATTTTGTCTTGTTTTCATACTAAAAAAGCAAATGGAATTGTCTAAACCATAAGCTAAAGTAGTGCCATCAGGAGACATGCATATAGAAGATAATTTATAACCCCAAATCCTTGATTTTTCTATTCTTGTTTTAATTTCCCAAAGACAAATGGAGTAACTACACAGAGCTGCTAACATAATCCCATCAGGAGAAAAACAAACTGAAAAAATTATGTTTCCAGAATCTTCTATTTTAGTTGTTTAAAATCCTGTCTTAATATTCCATAAACGAATAGAGCTATCATCGCTACCAGATGCTAATATAGTGCCATCAGGAGAGAAACAGACTGATCTAACACAACTTGTATGGCCATCTAATCTGGATTTTTATTATCCTGTCTTAACATCCCATAAACAGATTGACTTATTATAACCACCAGATGCTAAAGTAGAACCATCAGGAGAGAAACATACCGATAGAATTCCATTTGAATGACCATTTAATTCTATCTTTTATTAAATTGCCTTAATATCCCAGAAACGGATACATTTATCTGAACTTCCAGAAGCTAATGCAGTACCATCAGGAGAGAAACAGACTGATAAAATTTTCCCTATATGACCATCTAATGTGACTTTTTGTTATCCTGTCTTAACATCCCATAAACAGATTGACTCATCATTACTACCAGATGCTAAAGTAGAACCTTCAGGAGAGAAACATACCGATAGAATTCCATTTAAATGACCATCTAATTTGGCTTTTTATTATCCTGTCTTAACATCCCATAAACGGATAGTAACTTCGCTACCAGATGCTAATGTAGTACCATCAGGAGAGAAGCAGACTGAATACACATAACTAGAATGACCATCTAATTTGGCTTTTTATTAACCTGTTTTAACATCCCATAAACGGATAGAGTGATCATAACTACCAGATGCTAATGTAGTACCATCAGGAGAGAAACAAACAGATCTAACACCATTTGAATGACCATCTAATCTGGCTTTTTATTATCCTGTCTTAACATCCCATAAGCGGATAGAGTGATCATCACTGCCAGATGCTAATGTAGTACCATCAGGAGAGAAGCAGACTGAGCAAACATAATGAGTATGACCAATTAATTTCTACATTTATTTTCCTGTTTTAAGATACCATATATATATAAATTTGAGACAACAAGACGTTAATATAGTACCATTAGGTGAGAAACAAACTGATTTTACTTTCGTCTTTCCTTAAAATATAGAATTTAATCTTCCTGATCTAACATCCCGCAAACGAATAAATTCATCATCACTACCAGAAGCTAATTAATTACCATCTGGAGAAAAGCAAATTGAATTGACAGTTTCGACATGATCGTTAAACTGCTTTAACTCATTTATTCTTAAATTCTTCCATTTACAATTCAATAATTTGGCTCCATTTAAATTAATTCCACTAATATTGACATTGTCAAATTCAGATCCACTCAAGTCACATCTCACAAAATTTGCTCTAAAAAGTGAAGTATTTCTTATTTTAATATTTTCAAAAGATTGTGACTTCAAATCTACTTTCATTTCAACTAATAAATGAAGAGAATTTGATCCACACTATATGTATCTACCATCAAAGGCTGTAAGATGAACTAAAAATTTAAGAAATTCTATGATCCTCTGATCACAGGATACTTTTGTGATTACATTCTATTTAATTTCTTCATATTCTTTAACACAGTAATTCTGTTTATTAAAATTATTATCTTTTATTTAATAGAGAACATTTATTATTTTGTTAACAGTATTTTTTCCCACACTTATCATCTATTCTTCGTCAACAAGTGATAAATTTTCTACCTAAACCACATCTTTTCCTATTTCTAATTGATTTTGATCTTCCTAGAGAAATGCTAGACAGTCCTAAATTTTGCCTCTCTTGAATATTTTAATTAGGATATGGAAGACTACATCATCAACTTCTGTAGATAAAATTAATATCCTTTATAATTCATCCTTTTCCTCATTTTAACAATCCATACACTTTTATATTAAAAATAATATTGAATTTTATTAATATTTTGTAAGGCTTATACTATGCATCAAAAATTTATCAGCCATATTTTTTCGGATGAACAGCAGAGTTGATCATAATAGAGATTAAATATTTTACTAAAACTCATGTAAACATGTGCATAGTTTAATAATGTAGAATAAAAAATCAAATTACATCACTCACATGATGGACAATAATCTTAGAAGAAACTTCAAAACTTAGCTCCTTTGTTGATGATTTCAACTGATGGTATATCAATTTATTTCTTTTAAGAATTTTAGTGCAATTTATATCAATCTAATTATTGCTGTACGATATAAGTCTTAAAATTAGTTCTAAAAAGTTAGAAGATATTAAAACAGTAATATCCTACATGATTTTTAATATACATAATTTTTTTATTAAAAATATCAATCAATACCTCGCTGATTCTTCGAGAAAAATAACAAGGCATATTTAATACTTTCCCTAAATAACAAGCAAACTCTCAATATTTCCACTATTAAATTGATATATTACTTATAAATCATCTACAAATAATGCAATTTCAAACTTTCTCAATATTTTAAACTTTTTAAAATCATTAGCTATTTAACTATTTATTTCAACGTAGTTGCTACACTCTTCAAAAGTTACTAACACAGTTTAAATCATCTCCTATATCTTCTAATATATAAATTTCTACAAAAATTGAATAAACTAATTGTCTAGGTTTTCTAAGTTTTTTAATTCTTCTTATTTTATGATAGAAATTACTTTATTTTTTTTTAAAAAAGTTCTATTTTTATTAATTTATTAGTTAAATTTTCATTTACTTAATTGGGATTCCAAATCATACATTTAATGGATTCTGTAAATTCCCCAAAAGTAAATATATTTAAAGGCATGTATCTGCTTTCGATAATTTAATCCTTTCTTAACAATTAATCATCCGGATGAAACCCTAAAGGTGAGACATTACTTTCAAGATAATTCGATTCCTATTATCTTCCTCTAATTTTATTGTCTATTAATGGTCTAATGGATTGAAAATTAAGCTCAAATTTGCTATTTAAGAAAACATTCTCAAAACCATGCTAAAAATTTTCATTTTCTAAATTTATATAAGATTATTCGTTTGCTACCTGCCTCATGAATAATTTAATTTTTTTTATGTTCGAAATCTATTGCGCTGGTTTTTGGATGATCTTGGTTCTTTGATGAAATTCATCCTATCATTTCAAATTACTAATACATCTTATATCTAAGTCTACTCTTATAAATTTCCAGCCTGAGGACACATTATTAAAGTTAAATTTTAGATAGAACTGTTTTTCTATCATGAAAATTTGTTAGGTATAGAAGAAAGTTGTATCAAAAGAAATTAATTAATTTTACGTTACCTTTGGCTGCATTTCACCAATAATTTATTTCTTCTTTAAGGATAATTTACCACTATAGTTCTTTTTTCTTTAGGAGGGAGCAAGTGACTACTTTATATTTTAAAATTATAAAGAATGCTTTATCTATGTAAATAAAATTAACAAAAATAATTGAATTTTAACTATGTTTTAATTAAAGTTAAGTTCTTTAATTGTTATCGAATGTTTTCTTGATTTACATATTTCATTAAATATTTATTTTATAATAATTGGAAGGTAAGATAAAGCTTTTAATCAATAAAGAAATGATATCATAGTAGGTAATTCCTATAATTTGTATACAATATGATATGTAATTTATAAATGATATTAAGTACAACTAATTTGTAAAAACTGTGGCTATGATTTAATAATTCGTAAACGAAAAATCCCAAGAAAATTATGTTTCTTGAGTCGATTTAGATCTCCGTTATTATTGATTTTATTTGTGTATCTAATCCAATACCAGGTTTTATCCATTATTTATTTATCTGAATATTATTTTATGTTGTCATTTTAGTTCTTATAATATTGACTATTTTATTTTCATAAACTTTCTATAATTAATCATTATTTCTGTGTCAAATATAAAATTTTTATTTCAGTACCTTTTACTTTGGGTTTGGGTTTGGGGTTGGGTTTGGGTTAAAATTGGGTTTGGGTTTGGGTTTGGGTTTGGGTTTGAGATAGGGTTTGGG